ACCATCCTGTTCCATGGGAAATGTTCCACTTGACTTCAAGATCTAATAAATTAGCAGCTGAATAGGAAAAACCTCAATGTGTTTTTCTGCTACCATCTTTCTAATTATCACAAAACCAAATCTCTTTAAATGTCATGATCAGTGGCCGCTTCAGTGTGGTTTTTTGATGATGTGTACCTTTTTTCTCATGGTCAGGAGAGCTAAGAACGATCAAGTCTTCCACGCTGGTAATTTGACACATTGTAACGGCCCCGTTGGGTATCTTTCAACAGGCGACACGGCTCTGAAAGGGCGACACGAGAGAGCTGAAATGACGACGAACGACAAGCCGCTCACGTGAAATTCCGACAGCGACAAAGACAAAAGTGAAATTGACAAGGACATTGGCGTTTTGAAAAATAGACAGCGACTTATAGTGTATTCGGGCAGAGGAAATTGTATTTTACAATAAATTAAAACTTTTCGTGAGTATTGACAGTCTACAGTGTGACCTGTGTCGTCTGACTCTCTTCCGTCTCATCTTTCATATCACGCCACGCTCTATGTCCTTGATGGTCACGCGCCCAAAATTCAGATTTAACCTTCCGAGTTTTTTCTCTCTCTATTCCCATGTCGCACTTTACAAGCTATTAAGTTTGGTTGATAATTAAGAATTAAGAGAACGCTTTATGCTGAAACATTTCCGATATTGATATTACTGGCTTTGGACGAAATTCCGCCAGCGACTTGGAAACCTTCCGAAATTGCGATGTAAAAAGGTTTGGAACTCATACGGGGGACATTTGGAACTCCGTAACAGGGCCTCACTGTAGGCAAATCTTAGAATTGATTAAATGTTATTTGATCATAAACAAGCATGAAATTCATTGAAGGAAATTAGCTAGCACAATTCAAGTTCCCCTACTTAAGTATTGTGATATTTATTCCTATCAAAATTAATGGTTAAGTTTATAATTTACCTAGGTCTTTAAATTTCGCTGTCTTTTATCTCTTTGTTTGTTTGCCTTCCTAACAATCTTATTGTTAACAAGAAATGTGAGGGGCAAATAAAATTTGTATAGTTATAAAATACATATATGTTGGACATGGTTTGATGCTACTCGGGTTTACAGATTTAATGAATGTAACAGAAGAAGATAAAATTCATAGACCCAACGTCCTGTCTAGTGCCTTCATCAGGAGGGATCTAAACGCTGCAACAAGAGGTCCTTTTATATGATCACTAAGTAGCTGCCTTTTTTCTGACGAGGTGTAAATAGGCGTCAGGAAGTAAGCCGCCATCGTCACGATTTAAAGGAGCGTGGGCGGAGTTAATATGCCAAGCATGCTCCAAACAAAGTGGTGGTAACGCCGAGTAGTGGTGATAATTTTAGAATTATCTCACCCAATTGTATGGTTATTTAGGCATGTGTGCTCCGATACAGCTGAATTTTCTTTTTTGCAAAAGAAAACCGCTTTTTGATGCTCTTTCAAACGTGTACCAAACTGACGTTTGGTCTGTCCGATGTATTCGTTGTCACAGTTATTGCAAGGAATAGAATAAATGGCGTCGGTTCGTTGTTCTTTCGTGACAGGATCCTTAGGTTTGGCGAAAATATGCCCCAAAGTCTGAAGAGGTTTTTGAGCAACTTTAACGTTGTGGCTATTCAAAATTCTCTTGATGGGTTCTGTAACACCCTGAATGTAAGGAATAACAGCAAAACCGCTGGTTCCCTTCATCAAGAGTGTTACTAGTTGTAACCGGTTTTTGGCAGTTACGGAGAAAGGTTTTTGTATGGCCATTTGCCTTTAAACTGAAACAATTTTTGAGCGAGTACATGGTAGTTGAAATAGAGGTAATCGATGATCTTACGGAAAGTATTATTCACTCTCATTGACGATTAATTTATGTACGAAGATTTACTTCTGTTTATGAAGTAAATGGTGAGGAAAGTTATTGTATAAGTAGATTCAATTTTTTTCTCCAAGGACTTTGACAATACGGGGCATGTGTACTCCTGGTTCGAGTCCTATCTTCACAACAGATCCCAGTCCGTCTCCATCAATTGTGGAACATCGGATAAATTCCATACAAAATATGGTGTACCTCAGGATCCTGTCTTGGCACTCTATTGTTTGTCGTATAATCAAGCAAACTGTTTAAGATCATCGAACGTCACCTACCCGATGTGCACACCTACGCCGACGACACGGAATTGTATGTATCCTTCAATGCCGATTCTAGAGCTGGGCGGTCGGCCGCTTTATCGGCAATGCAAAACTGCATTGCGGACATTAGAAAATGGATGCTCCAAGACAGACTAAGGCTAAACGACGATAAGACGGAATTCATTATGATCGGAACGAGACAAAAACTCGCCAAAGTCAACATATACCCCATGCAGGTAGGTGAAAGTAGCATCGCCTAAACCAGCAGAGTCAAGACCCTAGGCTGCTGTTCGATGGACAACTTAAGATGGATAGCATCTGTAAAACCACATTTTTTCACTTATACAACATCAGAAGGATGACAAGATTTCATAACTTTGAAAGTACAAAGGTAAATGCTTTGTAATTAGTCGTTTGGACTTCTGTAACTGCCTGCTATACGGGTTGCCTAATAACTAAGTACATCAACTACAGAGAATTCAAAATGCGGCCACTCGCCTAATCTGCAATGTTGGTCGTTTCGAACACATCACCCCATCACTGAGCAGGCTCCATTGGCTACCATTAACTATAGAATCCAGTTTAAAATTCTTCTTTTTGTATATAAAGCCCTCAACGGTATCGCTCCCCCTTATATATCTGAACTTGTAGAACTGAAACCCGCCTCAAGATACAATCTCAGTAACACTGATGATACGCTTTTACTGAGTAATCCTTCTTTTAAGAGTCGTATCACATTAGGTGACCGCTCATTTAAATATGCAGGGCGTAAACTGTGGCACGAGCTACCGAGAGACATACGTTATGCCAATACTGTACATATTTTCAAGCGTCTTCTCAAACCTCACCTGTTTAGGAAAGCCTATCTGCTCTAAATACCATCGGTCTAATAATATTATAATGGTTAAGATTTTATTGATTATAAAGATTGTAATGATTAGAGTCCACGGTAGGGGGAGGGGGCGGGGGATGTGCGAAAAGAAACTATAACATGTTGATGAGGAATTGCAAAGTTATAACTGTTCATATCAAACACAGGCTACGATGTTTGGGCAACACAGTTTAATGACAAATAGAACGAGACGCTAACACTAGAAATCAGTAAAACTAAACCAGCAAGGGTGATGTGGACAGGAAAGCGTTGACCAGCTCGAAACTGGCAGAGCGTCAGAGTGCTTCTAAACCCAATACACTGGAACAACTACGACTTACTGTCCAAGGGCGTGTTCTCTAACCTTCATCATCCAGAGTGATAAACTCCGCGCCTCCACCCCTCCCCTTATTTATTTATTTATTTTTTTTATTTGTCGCTTACCGTACCCCTCTCTTTACTTTTTACCTTAAACCTTAAATCACAAAATTGCCATCGTTTCATGTATTTTACTATTTCCAGCTCTAATTGTTTATAATCTTAACTGCAAACTCAATTTCTTTTGTCGGCGATTTCTATATTACGACAGTATTTTGAGTGTTGATTTATCTGTGGATATGAAATTTCGGCAAAAGAAGAAGCAGTTTCACCTATAGGATGTCGTCTAAAGCAATACTTGAGAAGCCATTTTGAATTCTTGTTTACCATTTCAAATCACAAGAACACATTGCTAAAAAGGTCTATTAGCAAGTTACAGCAAGTTACAAATTATTCCCCGGTCCACACAGTCTGCACGGTCTTCAGCCTGCCTTTTAGCACGACCGTTAAAACGTTAATTCTACACAAGAACCCTTGACTGGAGTATAATAAAATTGTATTTATTTTCCGTCTTTCTCAAACATATGACTTTATGTGTCTTAAAAAGGGGAATTTTATTTTCATAGTAATAATCAAAATAAACCTATGCTTTTAAATATTAAATAATGATGTGATGAATATCTGATGTTATGAAACCCTTACAATGGAAAGACCTGTTCCCGGTAGCTTATGTCTTTAAAGTTTAAATTTCATTGAGATTTTTTTCTTTGAAAACGGAGATACAGAAGTTTTAAAAGAGGCCAGAGATAAGGAAGTGAATTATTTAAATCTTCATATAATTTTTACTGCAAACAAAACTTTAAGCGAGTCACACACAGTATGCATGAATTGATCATTCCTCAAGGTAAAATGAAAAAAGGATGGATTTTCTTGCAAACCCAGCATCAGCTTATTTTATCAATTTAACATCTTTCATGTCCGCGAAATTTAAAGAAAAAAAAAGAATTAAAATGTATAATTTCATTCACAAACGAACTTCAACTTGCATTACAGAGGGAAAGGATATGGTGGTCAGGAATTTGTCAACTGCTCAAAACAATGTGCGTAATCAACATCAAGGAGGAAAGTATCACATCCTTTTATCATGAAAATGGCCACGACAAGATGAACAACTTCATAATTAACTTCCTTTAGATTTTTCACTTTTCCACTCTAATTCTTGGCTTGTCAAAAAAACAGTAATTATCGAACTTGACAGGAAAATAGAAAATAAGACTTAAGAAAAAAAAAATGTTAGGCTGAAAGAATGATGAACGATCGAGTCTTTTACGATCTGCTATATCTCTTTGATCATTTAATTTTGTTCCTTCTTGGTTATATTAACCGTTGGCGGATCACCCTTGGAATGAGAAATAACATTACATAAAATTGAGAATAGTGTCAAGTGCTGCTAAAAAATTACAATGCACTTCAAATCTAGCTGCAACAGCATATTAAATTAAGTTCTCCTTATAGTGAGAACAGTAAACCTAACACTGCTCAGAAAGCCGTTGCTTTATGCCATGGGTTAACAAAAGGACACATACACAAAAAGCTCTTTCGTCTTGAAAGTGTTATTTTGCAAGGTGCGTCAATTTACGAAAAAAAAAGGGGGTATTTGTGC